TTCGACAAGATGAATAAAGTTGTGTTTATTTTAGAAAATATTGTATTACGATATTCAAAGAAATAAAAATTTTCATTATAAAAATTTGTTATTATTATTCTTAAATAAATACCGCCATTTTAATATTAATAATGAATTTAATAAATTTAAGCTCTGTTTATATACCTGATTTTGGTGGCGATACTAAGTAGGTCCTTAACCAAGTACAACAAATAAAATTTTATACTCAAGTATACCCATTAATCACTTGGTTAACCCATGGGTATACTTGCCGGTTAACCAGATAATGTTTTTTTAACTGAGTACAATCACTACCTATATCAAGCAAATTTCAGGCTAAAGATCACTTCTGGCCTAAAAATTTTGGATTGTAGTATATCAAAAATTTCCCATATATTTAATATATAAAAATGCTTTTTATAATTAAAATTTCATGCTGAAAACTTTTTTTTAAAATTGGAAGTTAGTTTTCATAATAAAATTTCGTGTTATTTACAATTTCTTGCATTTTTTTACATTTTTTGCATTTAATTTATTGGATCTGATCTATGAAATTTAAAATCGGATATAATCTTTAGCTGGAATTTGCTTGACATAAGGGTACCCAGTTTTATCCAAAATTGTTTTTAAAATATCTCAGAAAAAATGTAGATTATTCTCCAGATAAAGTATTGGCTATGTCTGGATAAAATTTTAGGCCATATATAATGACAATGAACTTGCAAAAGCTTCATCTATATTATTACTAAAATATCAACAACTATCTCAAAATCCATATACATATTGCTTTTTCCATCAACATCTATAAGTTTTTCATAAACTATATATTCAAGCACTTCAGATTTTATAGCATTTTCTTTTTGCATACAAATATCATTTAAAATTTGATCCCCATGTTCCTGTTTTTTGCTTTCATTTACATGAGTTATATATTTTAAAAACATAATTGTTGTTATTCTGAAATGCAGTTTTTGGTTTCATAATTCGACAAGATGAATAAAGTTGTGTTTATTTTAGAAAATATTGTATTACGATATTCAAAGAAATAAAAATTTTCATTGTAAAAATTTGTTATTATTCTTAAATAAATGCCGCCATTTTAATATCAGTAATGAATTCAATAAATTTAAGCTCCGTTTACATACCTGATTTTGGCGGCGATACTAAGTGGGTCCTTAACCGGGTACAACAGGTAAAATTTTATACCCGAGTATACCCAAGTATACCCGTCGATCACTTGGTTAACCTGCAGGTATACTTGCCGGTTAACCGGGTAACATTTTTTTGACTGAGTACAATCACTAGCTAAAAGTTATTAAAAATAAATCAAATTTTGCAACAACAACAGCAAATGCGATCATGACATATAGAAATATAGTGGAGATCAAAACAGTCTGGCAAAATCAAATGGCCCACCATATAACCAAGCTGAGAAAAAGACTAAACAATAATAGCAAAGTGGGCAAGATGATATGGATTAGATTACAACAGGCCCAAATCGATTGCAAAAGCACGCAATGCATATTAGGGATAGATACGGAAAGGCTTAAAAAGATCCAATTAAAACAAAATCTAGCATATAAAATTTTAGTTGCAGCCAAAGAGTTAAACCTAAGTATAAGATCAATTGAAATGGAAGATAATCTGAGGCTCGTAGAGTCAGATGTAAAAATCATAGACCTCCTAGATGACAAAGAAATTAAAAGATTCGCACAAGAGAGAAAAATAGTGCTCCGCAAACTCAAATTAAAGTTTGAATCCCAAATCAAATATTTGATCAAATCAAATATTTGGTCAAATCAAATATTTGACCAAATCAAACTGATCAAATAGATTAAATAAGTGATTTATATGCATTTCGAGTTTGTTTGCCATAAATATGTATTTATTGCAATAATTCCCATGGTGGCTAGAGCTTCTGTATCTTTTTTAACCAATAAGTAATCTTTATGGAGTAAATTAGCTAATTTGGTCAAAGAGTTCGGTTTTTGGTTGACTAAGGCTTGAAAAATCTCTCAATGATTTTTATTCATATTGCTAAATAAAATCTCAAGATTATTGCAGTATAGGACATTCGGTTCTATAGATTTTAATTTTTTTTCCGTAGCTATTTGAAAGTCATCACTCGGGTTATACTTAAAAACAAAGGTTCTGTTTAATTGATTAAATTCTGTTATATATTTTATTTAATTTTTTTTGTTAATACTAGATAAGTAGATATCTCGGTGGTGACCTGTTGCTACTATGATAATTAGGAGCTTATTTTGCTTTATTTCATAAATAACTTGATATTCACTAAAACAAAAACTCCACTGGCCTTTTCGCTTACCTTTTAAGGGCTTACCTTTGGTATAAGGATTTTTGACTAGCTTGTTTTCTGCATCGAGTCTGATTTTTCTAGCCATTGCTTGATCAATCTTGGCTAAGCCTTTTTCGGCTCTTTTATCCCATTTCACCTTATATATTTCAGTTAGCTTTTTTTAAATTTAAATGGTCCAGTAAATTCTCGTGAGTATATTCTTTATTCCCTTTAACTTTTTCACCCTCGTAGTATTTTAGCATTTTGTTAGTATACTCTAAATACCTAGTTACTGCTTTTTTAAGATAAAAATCTCTTGGTTTTTCAGTAAGAATTTCGAGTTGCTTAAAATCTTTTTCTAGTTGCTGTTTAGTTTTCTCAGGCAAGTTAGTTCAAAGTTACAGTTAATATAATGCTTAAATTCCTAGTCTTTTGCTTAATTCCTCACTAGTGTAGGTTTTTGGCTTTTTTCCTTCTTCTAAAACCTCTAATACTGATAACTTTTGAATATCTTCTGTGTTTTCAATATATTGGACAAAAGCTTCATAAAAAATGATCTCCTTGAACTTACCACTAATACTTTCTAAATCAGCAAGGCACTTCTCTAACTTTTTAGATAGTTTAAGTTTAAAATAGTTAAACTTTTTTGGTTCCTATCTACAGTTTGCTTTTCCGGATTTTTTAACTTAGTAGTCATATTTACATTTTTAGACCTCTTAGATGTTTTTTAGAACCTTTCATCCTTTTAGAGGAGTTAATTGCTTATACTGATAATCTACATATTCTTTTTGAAATTAAGATTACTAACACTAAATTAGAAAGAGATAAAGACTACAGCAGAGCATAGTAAAGGAAACTGTGGCCGCTTCTATAATTTTTTTAATCTATATGCCACTAGCCAAGCAAAGTTAATTTTTTAGGCCCCCAAAACCAATGGAATTCCTGTATGGTTTTCATCGCACTTTTTATTTCTAAGGCTTTTTAGGGATAAACTTTCTTCTTTGAAATTACTTTTTCTTAATAATTAAAAGAATGAATTAAAAATTTCTATAAATAACTGCTGAAAAACAATATCTCTATGGAAAAGTTGACTATACCTCCTTAATTAAAGCCCGCAATTTTTTAGCTAAAATTATTCAAAACACCAAAAATGATTATGAAAAAAATAGGAACAATTAAGGCTTTTGAATTTTGCTATGAATTAGCCTGATAAGTAATGAAAAAAGTATTAACTTTTTACGGAATAGATATGGACAATGCCTGAGATGTTTTCTGTGAAACCACAAAACTAAAATTTATTACTAGTGCTGAAGTATGATTTTCTTATTTAGACAAAAGAAACATTACCATTTATACTTATCGTAAAGAAATTTTGAATAGTTTATTTTTCTCAATAACCAAAGAATTCTTAAAAGATTTAGATTATTTTCTAGAAAAATTAGCCAAGCATACCGTACAGTACAAGATTTTAATCGTACCATACATAATCTCAATTTCCCGGTATTTAAGGCTCTATTTCAGTACACTAATTATCTTTATATTCTTCTTTTTGTGCAGTGACGGGGTTATAATATTCTAATTCAATCATTAATATTCTTAACAATTATCACGTAGTTGCGACAAAACAATGCGGAGTCGAAATTAGATTAACAATGACTAAATTTAATTGTTTATTTGATTACAATATAAAAGGGTCAGATTACTAATAAATATTTTCTTTCTTTTTCTCTTACTAAAATTTTAATAACACAATACGACAAAGTTTCGGGGACAAGAAAGGCTTTTTCGAACAATTTATATTACTTAAGGGAAACAACTACTACTACTCGAATTTATGCCAAAACTCAACTGGGTTATTTTTATTGAAGATAAAGTTAAGTTGCTTATATACTTTTAAATAAAAGGAATCCCAACTATTTACTTTTCTTCTACCAAATGCTATGCTACCCGCAAATCACTACCAGGAGGGTAATTTTGCCTTTCACAACGTACGTACATACATATGTACTGTATGTACACACATATATTTTTATCTTATGTACCATTTACACTTTGGGTAATTACTTCAATTTGTTGTTCAGTAAACTTTGAGATTGTGTCAAACCTATGTGTTCTAATTCGACTGATTTTATCTACACCAATTATTTTGAACAAATTATATATATTTTTAGCTCTTTGTGTACTTTTTTTTAAAGCTTCTTTAGTAATATCAGATCGATGTGCTAATATTTCTCCATAAACTTTAGATTTGGCTTTGTTCAAACTTATTCTATTATTTTGTAGTTCTTCATTTACTCGTCTCTCAAATGCTTTAGCAAATCAATACCAGGACCATATTTCAGCATAGTTTGCTAATATTGCACACTTTTGAGAACATTCTGCTTTATTATAAAGCTGAACTAAACTTATTGCATTTTTACTATTTTCTTCTTCACATTTACTACTACTAACTCTAGATATTTCACTAGGAGTAACTAGATCCACAAGAATTTCTAAAAAATATTTTTCTTTTCTTAGATCAGCAGTAGAGCTACTAGGTTCGGTAACTAATGTAGACCTGGTAGAATTACCAGAGTTGGACGTAGGCGTAGTAGAACTATTAATAACAGGAGGTATAGCTGGGCTACCAGAGTTGGCAATTGTAGACGCAGGATTGCTAGTAATAGTAGATATAGCTGGATCACTTGTAGATGTAAGATCACAAGGATTGGTGATTAGTATAGAAGGTATTGAAGTAGATGTATTTGTCATAGTAGTATATTCCATAGATGTAGATGTATTTACAGTAGTAGATTCAATTGGAGTATATTCCATAGAAGTAGATGTATTCGCAGTGGTAGATTCGATTGGAGTATATTCCATAGAAGTAGATGTATTCGCAGTGGTAGATTCGATTGGAGTATATTCCATAGAAGTAGATGTATTCACGGTAGTAGATTCGATTGGATTAGCTTGCTGATTAATACTTTCTGATTCTGAAGTATTTTCTAAATCTTTATTTTGACAAATAGGACAAGTATATTCTGATCCAGAAGCCTAGCGATTAATGCATTTGGCGTAAAAGAAGTAGTAATATGTCAAAATTATAATTGGACTTTGAAAAGTTGGATTAATTTTAGACAGACATATCATACAATTATGTTCGTTTGGATCTTGAATATTTACAAGTGTATTTTGAAAAAAAACTTTGTGCATAAATTGTTTTAATGTTTCTATTTTTTTTTCGATAATAAACAGACTTTGGTTTTGACAAAAAAATCATTTACAGTTCCTATTTATATAATTTTAACAATATAGATTTTCTCATAAAAATATTTTTCGCATGATAGATTTAGCAATCACAACAAATTACTGTATGCGTTATTTTGAAAATCGGATCCTTCAAAAATAACTTAAGTGTTCTCGACATTAGTGCTATGAGTATCCCGAAATAGCGCGCATGCTAATGTAGCAAATAATATATTGTTGCGATAATAAATGATACAGTATACGGTTGACACTCCATATACTATTGTAATTTAAAACTTCTTTTTTGATCACTTAACGCATCAGTTACTTATATGATTAAAAGTGACACTGTCAAGTTTAGATATACTTTAAATATCTATTACTATTGTCCTGATAGTGCTATCTTTAAATGAGCATTTTTTTGACTTCGGTATTCAATTTTTCTTTTAATTTTACTATGTATTTCCTCATTTAGAGAGTGGAAACATAATGCGCCATAATACCCTCCAATCTAAAAAAAATTGTAAATAAATACACCTTAAAAATTTTTATATGTGCAACTCTTAGTGTGCCATAATATCTGACTCTCCCTTAAGATGTAAAAATTGCCATTATGATAGAATGCACAAGTAAAAAACCATGAATTCTACAAAGATAGCTTAGCCCGAAAGAGAGGTGAAATTTATTCACTACAACTTTTAAATTATTCAATGATTAAAGTTTATTATGATTACGTAGGGGTATAGTTTATATGACCAAATGCATCGACAATTAAGTTTGTTAGAATGTAAGGTTCTGCAGTATATGATCATTTAAGACATTTAACCGATTTCTAATGTGTTGATTATTAAATGTAATTTTTAATAATACTGTAATTTGCACCCAAAAAAAGTTGTTTTTTTTAAACTTAATTTCTTGAAGAATTAAAGTACAGTAAGACCCCCTAAATACAACCTCTCTAAAGGCACGTCTTATAAAAAGCCTCCCTAGATGCACGTCTTCTCTTGGGCCTAACTAATATTACACCTCCCTAAATGCAATACCTCTCTAAATGCACGCTTGGCTAAATTTTTATATATGGTCCTGATGCATTGTATTTAGAGAGGTCTGACTATATTACGTAGAAATGTGGGTTCCTATATATATAGTAGGTATTAGTCAAAATTAACGAAAAGAAATATCTTTATACAAAACATACAAATCGTACAAGTCATGCAACTCGTACAAAACATATGACTCATGCAAAACATACAAGTTGTTCGAAAATATATAGAAAGCAATTGTAAGGTAGTTAGAAATAGAAAATATAGCCATATATATGTAGTAAAAGGTCTAAGTATATAAAGGCCTACCTTTTTCATTTAATAAAAAGTAACTCATTCGAGTTCTAAAACTTCGAAAAGATTATAAAGAGAGGTCGGTTCTCTAAAAAGTTTTCCCTTTCTCATAATAAAAAATTACACTTCGTTGTAAAATCGCCAAAATAAAAACTGTTCTCATGATACCTAAAGAGAAATTACCTTTTCTGAAGGTCAGTTAAAGCAGAGTAAAGTTGAAATTTTATTAAATATTAGGGTTAGGGTTAGATCAGTATTAGGATTAGAGAGAGCTATAGATAAAATCTATCTAAGAGAGAAAATTATCAAAGACCTCTTTTATACAATACAAATAAATTCTGATCCAATTTCATTCGTCGATTATCAAAGTCTTATGACACATGACCCCGAAATAAGTGAAGTACTCAAAAAGAAAGTAAAATAGAACCATTAGTGTTAAAAAAATATAATATAAATAAATAATAGAAAATTGTTCTAACTGTCAAATCAATATAAAAATTGCATTCTACTAGGAGTAGAAGGAAACTTCTTATTTGAACCCAACCTCTACAAGACCCAAGCTCCAGAAAATTCAGACCAAGTCACACCATGCCTTGATCGACACCTACCATTTTGGAGTTTTTGGTCTTGCTACCCTATCGATTGCTATAGTTTTAGAGTTTAGATTAGATTAGTTAGTTATTCAACTATTGGTCCCACGCTCACAACGTGCATTTATGAAAGACTGTATTGAATTTTGAAAACTTTCTCTTGTTTCGAAAAAACACACATGGGCGTATTCTTAACGTGCATGTTAATTAATTAGCACGCAAATGGGAGTTATTTCATGCTTATGCAGTAAAATTTAATCACACGTTCTCGAGATATCAAAGATGTATCAAATTTTTTATCGGGACCTTGGGTCCTGATGAACTTAAATTGATTTATCATTGATATTTTAAGAACGTGTAATTAAATTTGGACAATTTTGGTAAAAAAATTTGATACATCCTTGATATCTCGAGAACGTGTGATTAGATTTGGACAATTTTGGTACCATTCGAATTGTCATACAAAGATGATTCGAATAGTACCGGAGTTATTACCTCAAATTCAATCGGGGTCCAAGGTTCCGCTAAAAAATTAATTCTATCTTTGATATCTCGTAAATACAATTAAATTTCAATAACTCCGGTACCATTCAAATCATCTTTGCATGATGATTCGAATAGTACCAAAATTGTCCAAATTTAATTACACGTTCTCAAGATATCAAGGATAAATCAATTTAAGTTCATTGGGACCCAAGGTCCCGATAAAAAATTTGATACATCCTTGATATCTCGAGAACATGTGATTAGATTTGGGCAATTTTGGTACCATTCAAATCGTCATGCAAAGATGATTCGAATAGTGCCGGAGTTATTGAAATTTACTTTATAGAAACCTTTAATTTTTGCTAAATATTTATGCTTTATAATTATTATATAATAAAAATATAATAAAATATTTTTTAGTCTGTTAAATTACTATTAATTAGCTTGTTATCATCCTACTAAAATATAAGCTCTGCTAAGATATTGATAATACAGTATATTGGTGATATTATTTAATTATTTTAAACCGATTGTTATTATATTATTAAAATATTATATTATTAAAATAATATTATTAAAATATTATTATTAAAATATTATATTATTAAAATATTATATTATTAAAATATTATATTATTAAAATATTATATTATTGACCTGTGGGTCGATAGCATAGTGGTTATGCTTCTAGGTTGCAAATCGGACGGTTGCTGGTTCAATTCCTTCCAGCGGTGAAATAATGAAAAACCCAAATATAAAAGTGAAACACTGCGGGGTACAGGGAACTCGGGACATCTACGGATGGATGTATTCGGGGAATAGTTATTCCGAGAAGTTGTGGCTGTGAAGTGAGGCGTGTTAGATCCCCGATTTGGAATAACCGAAGTCATGAGACATACTGTGAAGCCAAAGTCTGAGAAGATACTACAAGAACTTGTGGCACCACCGGATTGGCTAGTGAAATCCCAGTCTAATATTAAAGTGTTTTGATCTCTCCAGAGTGTCGTGCAGGCGGTCGGATCTAGACCCCAATGAGGGAACCGGAGAAATGGCAGGCAATGGATCCCAGGTGGATATACATGATTCCCGTATAGGGATTATGGAGGTCCTGTGACACTAGTAGCGTAGGGTCAACTATAAAGATAGCTGGACCAAGTCACATCTAGACTTGCCGAAGTAATAAAAAAAAAAAAAAAAAAAAAAAAAAAAAATACTAATCAATATTATATATAGCGATATAGTCTATAGACAAAACATAACAAATACTAATTGCAGTTTGCTAAACTTATCTGAATTTGAAAAGAGTAAACACTGCCAATTTTTTGATAAGAGTAAGCTGTTTTGCTTACTTTTGTAGAAATTTTGAAAGAGCAATAAAAGAATAAAGAGAAAAAATAACATTATTTGTTTTGTTTAATAAAAGAGTAAAAATAGTTTTTTATTATTAAATATAATAGCAATCTATAAACTCTTATACTTGAGAGTAGAAAATATAGGTACTTATTCTTTTCAGTAAATAATAAACTCTAAGCTTGTTAATAAATAGCATATGAGAACTGTTTCTAAACAAGTATTATTTTTAGCAGTAAATAATAAACTCTGAGACTAACTCTTTCCAATAATCACTTGAACTAAAATTTTTGACAAAAAAAAAACCTATTTTCTATACTGGAGCATAGTAATAACCTGTAGTAAGGTGAATCAACAAAGTGGTTTTTATAAAGGTCAATCTTTTCTTTTTCTTTAGAGACTTCTTTATATATTTGGTATACAAGCCAAAAGTGTCGGTATACAAAATAATTGGCAGAAGGTGGTGCTCTTGTATATGAAATTTTGGTGGATAGGTAGAGGTGAAAATAGTCCAAGCCTACTGTTAACAAAGCTAGCGAACCAGAGAATAGTAAAGAATGAGTTTTCTTTAAGCCGTATTCCTTTTTTTTGGCCAAGTGTTTTCTACTATTTTTTTTTCTGTTTTCCTTCCTTTCTTCCAAATTTTTTGTCGAAATGTGGGATTTGGCTTATCCTCTTCAAAAGATTGGCATTGTTTACTTTTCAAATTCGAACATGATACTTCAGATGGACAAAGTAGGTTATAAACATGGGATTGCTTGAGCAACAATGACCAATACTATGTAATGAACTAATCGGTGCTCTAGTTAATGAAATGACACAGATTGGGTACTAAAGTTAGAAGGAAGTTTTAATGATAAGATATAGCTTTACAATAGAGATATATGAGATTTTTAAATTTAAAAATTAGTTTTGTTTAAATTTAATTAGATATATAATTTTTATAACTGTGTCTAGCATGAGCTATAATAGTGTTTTCATAGATTTACTTTTTTCCTGCCTTTTTCTTCTTTTTTCATTTGTTTTTTTGTTGCTTAGGCATTTTTTTTCTTTCACCCTTTTGTTTTATTCCTTTTATATCTTTTTTTAGTATTAGTTTTTTTTATAGATTAGTTGGAAACTAGAGATATAGCGACTTAGTGTAGTGGTCTAGTCGTCATTCTCTCCAAGTGGCAGGTCTAGAGTTCAAATCCTACTAGCGACAATATTTGAAAATGGGCCTGTGTTCGGTTGATGGCTATGCTTATTGGTTGGATCTAGAACTAATCTATAACTTCAGTTACACTATTTAGTAATAAGAGCTTTGGTATAATAAATTTGAGAAACTGGCATAACCGAAAACCCATTTGGCAAGTCCCGAATTTGGAGGTAGCAGTGATTTTTGACAGTACTACAGGAGAGCTAAATTCAAACCGGGGCTCGAGATTGGAGAACTGAGTGACCAGGTCCGCTGGCAAAGAACACACTAGCCAAACTGCCGGGTTGTTGCACCAGAAGAAAAGGGCATATGCTCCAAAAGTATGAACCAAGAGGAGGGTATCCTTTAGACATCTAAAGCCTAAGCAGACTGACTCTTCCAGGTTGCCGACTAAAAGTAAGGGAGGGACCAATAAAGAATCTGGATAAGGAGACAGTCCAAATGCAGGTATCGGGGTTGTTGTGAACCGAATAAGGGCAGTGAGTACATAATAGATACCTAATTAGGAAGGTTGGTGCTTGAGAAACATCTGTAAAACGGCAGCACCCCAAAAGGTAGTATGAGATATGCATATAAAATGGCAGGCCAATATGTACTAATTAGGAAGAAGTTATAGGAACATGCAGATAAATACATGTGTGGGACCTGTACTGCTCTGTTAGGTTTACCAGGCCTCCAAATAATCTATATATAGTTTATATTTGGCTATCATAGTAACTTTTTTTTTTGTTAGCAATTTTATATTGGTATATATTATCTATATTTCAAATATTAGATTGGAATTTTAGGCATTATTATCAATTTTTAAAATATAAAATTCTTTAAAAAAAAAACAAAAATGTTTTCTTTAAAAAAAAAAAAAAACAGAAGTGTTTTCTTTAAAAAAAACAGAAGTATTCTCTTTAAAAAAAAAAAAAAAAAAACAGAATTTACAATTTATTTTTTGTTAGCATAATTTACAGTAAATATAACATTTAAAATACTTATTCTATTAGCAAAATTTTAAATATATCCTATTTAGTGATTAGCAGTTTTCAAATATAATCTTTTTACCCAATACCTACTTTTCAAATATAATCTTTTTTTAAAAAAGGGTCTATAATAGCAATTTTTCAAATATGACCTTTATATAGATTGTTCGAGGTCCTGGTTTATCTCAAGGATAGACTAGCTTAAGTTAGTAAATCCTAAGGTAGAGTGCAAAATCCAAAGCAGATAAATACAAAATCCACATATGAATGGTAAGTAATACCCACGGGTTAGAGGGCTGATAATGGTAGTTAGAACCAGATAGTTTAAATAGGTACCCCCGTAGTTGGGGTGCAGATATGGCAGATAGTGTGAAACTCTTAGCATAGCACTAATGTTTCGGGTAGACCATTTAAATTAGACACCAAAAGTGCACATGTGGCTTGATATACCATCATTGTAATTATACTATAAAACATCGTCTATACTCTAATAAAAAGCCCCCAGGCCAATGAGGTCACCTTAATACCAAAAAAAAATAAATAAAAAAAATAAATCAGTTGGAGACTATGAATCCTTCTGCTTGGGAAGCTAGGGAAAAAAGGTTAGAAAAAAAAGTGATCTTGATAGGCCATAAATACCATTCAGTGATGTATCGAGGAATTCATTTACAGAATTTTTTGATATTGAGATAAACTTTACTATAGCAGATTGAACATGGGTAATTTGGACACTTCAGTGTTACAAAGAGCTGGATTTGTAAATTAGGAGGGCTTTAGATAACTTTAGTCAAAATTGCATTTTTACCTATGAGTTTAAATGATCATACCTAATAAATATTGGCAAGATTGCCAAATTTTTTTAAAAAAATAAAAATAAAATAAACTCTGAGACTATTAAAAGATAAAATATAAAGGTTCTACTCTGAAATTTCAAAAGACAAATTTCTAAAAAAGATATAATATTAACAAAGTTAGCTAGCATTAATTATAATGCTAGTTTATTTAGTCAGTATTATGCTCTTTGAAAAAATAACTTTTGGGATTTTAGAGCAAAACTACATATAAAAACTACCTCTAAATAATAGTTGTCAACTTATAGACTTCTGATTCAACCTCTATAAATGCTTGTATTTTTCTAAAAAAAAATTTGAAACTTTTGGTAAAAGTGATTATCGAAAGAGTTCCACAATTTTGTTTAATTATTGTTTTATGTTTTTAAAATTTTGGCATTTAATATAAAAAATTTAATAGTATATAACGCATTCTAAAAACATTTATGTGAGGTAACTTGATAAAAATTTCAATCTTAAAAGGATCAGCACAAATAAAGCTATGATCTAATTGGTTATGTTTAAGTAGATATTGAGCAGATTCAAAAAATTGCCCCGTATGAGATAAATAGCTTGATTAGAAAAATTTCAATAAATATATTTTTTTCAAATGTCTCATGCAAATTTCGTGTCATGATTTACACGAAATGTCTTGCGACATTAACATCTCTAGTCATGCTGATGCCTTATAAATTAGTTATTTAAACAGAAATTTAAGATTAGCCTAAGTTGAATTCCTTCGGAATTCAATTTCTTAGTCTGATCTTAAATCTTTAACAGTGCTTACCTGATAACTTATTAATTATTAGATCAAAATTGACCAGATAAGTTTGTCTAAAAATCCACCAACTATTAACCTGCAAATTTTTGTCGACCAATGTTTTCATTTTATTAACAAAATTATCTGTGGCTGACAATATTGCGCACATACTTGTAATATATATGAGTGCCGCCAACCTATCATCGGGATTTCAAGTTTATTGCTTATCTATTTGATTAGTTGGAATTTTGCCCGGTACAAAATATATTGAAAGCCCGATGAAAGGCTTTCCCTTGACGGCACTTATATAGTTAACGCATATTGTAAAATAAAGAAAAAATATAAAAATGTTGCATGTTTAGACTATTGCTACAAATCGAAAATCGCAACTAATCGAAAAGTTGACAACTAATCGATTGAAAAATTTTTGGCAACTCATATTAAAATCGAATAAAAATCGAATAATCGAAAAGTTGACAACTAATCGATTGCAAAATTTTTGGCAATTTGTAGCACTAGTTTAGACGTTCTACAAACATTATGAGTACTATTGTACACGTCCTGCTAATCTATTCTATCATATTGACGGATTTGTGGAATTTGATACCTATGAGCTGTAGCTCTAATCAAATTTGCAGATCATTTGGCCAGATTTGAAATTATTTGACTTCAAAGCTGGCCAAATGATCTGCAAATTGGATCATAATTACGGCTCATGGGTTTTTCTATTTATCAAATGTATTATCTTGAAGATACCGACTTATTTTTTAATGTATAACAGATTACATTATTTGATGATTTAAAAAATTCAAAAAGGTAACAAATTGAAGTTTCTTTACTTACAGTAATATATTTTATTTTCATTAAATAATCCGGTATAACTGTATATAATACAAAAAAAATTCTTAAAATTTTTAGACAACCTCTTTAATCTGAGCTGATCCAAGAATATCAGATTCTAAAGAAACTTCTAGTTTTAGATTGACGATTCCATAGGTTCCTTTAACGCTAAACCCTTCTTCAAAATCACTTTGCAAAATGGTAGTCCCACCATTATCATTAATGCTCCATCCTCCTACACCTTTAGACAACTCGTAAAGAAGAATTCCAAGACTATCTGCAATCCAAAATTTATACTTCCTGACGTCTTTGTCAACCATCCCATTCGTTAATTGGCCGCTGACATGGACTTTCGTGGGTGTAATTTGAGTAAAGTTGAATTGACCTGTTAGGCGTTGGGCAGGATCATTATCTTTGGGTGTGAATATTGCGGTCGCAGTATCCATATTTAATGCGTTATTAGTAGGCAAACATATAAAAAAAGAAAAGATTATTTGAAGAAAAAATAGTAATAAATGTATTTTAGATGGTCTCATCTGAAGAGTTATTTATTTGATCTTCGTTGGCTAATTGCAAAAAATACGAATAAAGAATTTAGCCCCCACCATTGTTTTAAATAATGACATCATTAATTCATAAATAGCGGCTGTGGAGGCTCACATGATCGATAATCTTCCCCAGGGCAAAAAAATGGACATATGATTAAAAATATGATATGGATGATTTAAAAGCAATAAAGTAAATTTCAACATTGCTTTATTATAATCAGTCGAAAAACTAATTTGCCATAACATTTTTTTTTTTAAAAAAAAAAAAACGTGAAAATATTCACTTGCGTAGTGCGGAATATGTGCACATATATGATACACGAAAATATGAACACTATGATAGATATATACATCCCATATTCCAGTCCACTCTAATTAGAAGCTCATCGTGCTCTATTAATTAATCGATTTTATTATAATTAATATGCAAGCTGGTCAGCCGTTTTGCATCTCTAATTCAGATTCTGAATTAAGATAAAGTAGTCGTGGCAAAAAAAAATTCGCAATTAGGTGATTTTGACCCAACCAACAATCATAATGTCGGGATGATGCTGAAATTTAGGGTCTCTGTTTAAAAATATAAATCCTACTTAAACTCACCTCTTTAATCATAAACCCTAACCCTAAATTCTAATCCAATCATAAAAAAAAATCTAGAAAAATCATTATTAAAATAAGTTTAAATTTCAGCGTCATCTGATTTCAGCATCATCCCTTACATATAATATATATTAATACAATAGTATATCTATATATATCTAATATTAATATTATATTCTAGCCGAAGAAATCAATTTTTTTCTTCCGCAACTATTCTACCTTCAGAATTACGTTAGATCAAGGCGATAAAAGCATTTAAATCTTGGAAATAATCAACTTGGAGAGTTAAAATTTACCACACTAACTGATATATAGTTTTCTTTCATAGAATTTGACATACATACCGTATGAGCGCGAAATAAGCGCAGGGGCGTTATTTTGAATAATGGCCCGACGTTTTAGCTGCCCGATACGAAAGTATCGGAGCAGCTTTTTTGTCACAGGGCATTTGTAATTGTTTAAGTGATGCATTGTATTGATTTATCGTATGATTTCGCTTGATGCATTGTTTGAATGTCGTATGATTTCGTATGTGATTTTTTGTGTCGTAATGACGTAGAATTTGCCATTAGTAATCGTTTGTAGTTTTAAGGGGAACAGTTTTTTCCCAGGAAAGGTAATTTCTGTTTTTTCTGCTAACCCGACTTTGTCTGGTTTTTCGTCCCACCCTACCCGACCCTAACGTAGGACTATCGAAGCAATAGGTTTTGGGGTAAGAATTGGCCTGTCGAGACGACAGTCATAAACTGGTTTTGTAGTCAAAACGGCCTGTCAAGACGACAGTCATTAAGGTTTTTGCTTTACTTTGAAGTAATGACACCAGTTTACTTGGTAAGCGGCGGGTTTTTTTCCAGAAAATTCTGGTTTTTTTCGCCTGCCCTCCAAAGATGTATTTTAGTAACACTTGTAGCAAATAGTAGCGCAAGTCGCTTCATTCGATACTCTCGAATTCTGTACTGTGAGTAGCTATAGCACGAAAGCGGAAAGGACAGATAACCCATAATTGATTTTTTCGGTTGATTTTCATTTGTAACCCCGATGAGAGCTTAATTTAGGTCAAAATTCGAAATTACACCCCTGCGCGTTATTTCGCGCTTATACGGTATGTACACACAAATGTTGTTTTGACTGTCCTGAGCGTTTTTGGCCCTGTCCGTCCCAACTTTGTTTCCATTGATTTCTCAATTTCAGCTAAGCTATATCAAAGCAATAACAAAATATTCGCTAAAAATTTTTCCGAAATTTACCCGTAGGGTATGATACCCGGTATAAGAAAAAAATACAATCTAGAAAGTTAGCATGTTAGGGTTAAAGGTGTATTTATATGTAAAATTAAGTGCTCATATCGGCGGATTTGCGGAATTGGTCCTGAATTGATCCTAAATTGTATTTCCAAAGTTATCTGCAAAATGATCCCCAAATTTTGTAGCAAAACAACAAAATTTGGGGTTCATTTTGCAGATAACTTTGAAGATACAATTTAGGATCAGTTCAGGACAGGGCTAAAACGACATATAGTAAATTCGGTCATCTAAAGTGTCGTTCTTGATTCATAATTGTCGTAATCAAAGAACAATAGCAATAATAAATAAGAAGATTCTATTAGCTATTTAATACTATTGTTTCAATATATTACTTTTAATTTAAAATGACATTTTTGGATGACCGGAGTTTACTATATGCGTTTTAGCCCTGGTTCAGGACCAATTCCGCAAATCCGCCGATATGTGAACATTTTTACTTAAGACCACTATAAAATTTTGAGATATTAACGGTTTTGATTTTTTTTATACCGGGTATCCGGGTACAAATAGAAAATCTTTATTACTAAAAATCTATACCGCTAAAATTTTAATGTCTACCCGCCCTCGGATTTGGTTTATTTCAGATGACGCGATCTGGCTCATCATTCATGGTGCAACCAAGAGAAAAACTGCCATCGGAGTTTCATTATTGCTTTCCGAAAGATTTTGTCTGGTAAATTGTTTTACAAGAAACATAGAAAAATATCTTTGTTTAACCTATATGTAATTTTGTAATTTTTATTTTAAATTGTATCTATACTGTTAAAATTTTAATGCCATCACCTATAATAGATTCCATCATCAGTTCATCTGTTGATTTTTGTTGTTGATTATCGTTATTCATTTATTTCTTCTAAAAAAAGAAACAATTATTCTAATTTTGATTATTCCGGATTTAGAGGTAGCATAACTTAGCACAAATTTCAGCCGTGCAAAAAATCCTATAATACGTACTACACAAAAAGACAAGCCTTTTGTCTTGGCAAAAAAAAATTTTTTTGCCTTGCTCGCATGTTGATTTAATGATGCTTTAAAAGGCAATAATAAACATTTGTGCGCAAAAATTGTCTAAAAGTTCATTTGGTATTTCAATCAGGTTTGGCGTTTACATTTTCTAAAATAGTCTTATCTAGGGAAATTTTAATAAAAAATACCCGATAATTATATCAAGATCTTATTACTAACATACAGTTGTTATTCCCGATTGGATAAACAAAATTTTATTGGCTCTTTAAAACCTGACATGTTATCCATCATTTATATCATTGATCGAGCTAAATCTGATAATAAGAAACTTGAAAGCCTGAAGTCTCATTTTCTTTTGGCAGCACTCTACAGTATACATTTCGGTCCATTTCAGTCAGGATCGTCATATTTACTTATTTTCAATCTTGCTTTTTTATTTGTGCTTTTTTTATTTCCAAGATCTAGTATAATGTTTTGTCATTTTATTGGTTTTGTCATTTTTATTGGACATGAAATAAATAGCAAAAAGTGTTTCTTAGTAAAATACTAAACTTGTTAAAACAATTATAATTCATTCCAAACTTAATTTAGTGATTGGACCCGTCTAAAGAAAATGCCACCCAGGTCACCCGATAGTTGGTCCGGGTGCTCATGGTCTACCTGACTAACATCCAGGCCATTTAGTCAATATCTATTAGTTGAGAAGACAATCTTTTTTATAAATTTCTAAACACCAAGGTGTTGGGCAAGTACTCAAACGAATTTTAATAAGGTTGAATGTGTCGACATTAAAATAATAAAATTTATTTGCAGAATATGTAATATAAAATATATATGGGCTGAGTGTAAAAAAGGAGGAAATCGACAAATTTTCAAAATTTTCTTTTTTACACAAATTAATTTAGAATAAGATTTAGGATCATTTTCACTTAAAACAATAAAGCAGTTGTATTAATAAAATTTTGTAGTATAGCTCTTTATTAATTATAAAATTTATAACATAAAAATTGATGTCGATTTCCCCTCTCTGCAGCACCTAGTCATATGTTGTAATTCGGTATAGAACCTTACTAGATTAAGAGTCAACATAAGTTGATCTAAATACACTCAGTTAACCCGAAATTTTAACTTCACTCAAATCGTCAAAGGATTTCGAACTTGCATATTCAATTTAAAATTAAAAATGTTTGAATTCGCAATACATCTCAAGTCTCAATATTACAATGCTTACATATCGATCATGCCGAAGTCAATAACTTAACCAAATCATCCAAAGAATCATTCGGCTAATTTTGTCAAATGTCCCAGAATTTATGATAATAGCTACATATTCAATTAATAATAATTGTCGCAGCTGATGCTGAAAACGGCTGATGCTGAAATTTTTTCATATTTTATTATAAAATTATAAAAA